ACTTGGAGTTAAGACTGCCTTGTTCCATACAAATGAAATGTTGACCACCATGAACTTTCATTGTTCTTTCACATTTAGAACAATCACCATTTATCTTTATTTTTCCATATATGAAACTAAGACATGGTCCAGCCAAGAATAACATACCTGAGGGCATTTTCCAAATATGATATTACTACTTAGATCATCCATATTTCTTTGTTCTTCTTCTTGGGCAGCTATGTTCAGGAGGCGATTGACCCTTAAAAGAGACATATGCGAAGTTGAATTCGGGAAACATTTCTTGGCATATTCTAATTGGAGGGAATTAGTGGACCTTCATTCTGTTTTAAATGTCAACAAGGTACTTACTTTTAGTCTGGATGCAATCTTCAGTTATTTTGTGTTCCTTGCATCTTGAATTTTTTTTCATTGTTTGAACTTACTCTCTTTGTCAGCTTGATCGATTCTTAAAAGTTACATTAAATAAGATACATGTGCACAAACTTAGTTGCTTGCTATTTTCTGTTAAGAACATTCAGAATATCAGTTAGCTACTTTTTCTTTTTTACTCTTTGGCATTGGCAGTTTTAACGTTATGTGGGCAAGTACAATTTATACACTATAGAAAATCCATGCATCCAGTCTGATAAACATACTTCCCTTAGAAAGATCCCTTACCTCTATATCTTATAGAAAAAGGGTTTTCCCATCTTTATCAAGCTCTCTGATTTCTTGTCTGTTGGATCAAACTTTCTTTAACTCCAAGATTTAGGCACTCATGGCTTCTTGAATAAATTATTGGAATCTGATATAGATGCAACTCAATTACTCTAGTTTTGGGAGCAAGAATTTCTAAATTATAAATTTCATTGAGGGCCTTATACTTTGTCTATTTTGGAAGGACACAATATAATTCATCCCAAAACGTGATTATAGTGCTAGTTCTTTTACTGTACTTAATTGCAGACAATTACATTTGGAGTACTTCACTCTCTTATTTCTTGTTGATTTTGGGAATGGTAGCACAAGTTTTTACTGAACTGTTAATTCACTTCTTTCAAAATAACCAGGATTCACTGGGCAGAACCAAGCACATTAAGAGAGCAAAATAATTTGATCAACATGGTTTTTGGTGATTTTCATTACGAGAGCTATTCAAGCAGCAGTGACAGTGAGGATCACAATGATCTTGAATCCCTATACAGTGGATATGCTCAGAGTATCTTGTCCTGCTTGGACGAGAGCATTGAAAAGATTGATGATTTTCTTTCATTTGACCAAGGCTTCTCTCATGGTGATATAGTCTACTATGTCATGGACCCATCTGGACAGACAGGCAGAGTGGTTGATGTCAATATCATTGTAGACTTGGAAACTATGTCGGGAGAAATTCTAAAAGATGTAAATGGGAAGGAGCTAGTAAGGGTTATGCCCTTTGCAGCTGGTGATTTTGTTATCCATGGGCCATGGCTTGGAAAGGTGGAAAGAGTGGTTGATCTCGTCACTGTTCTGTTTGATGATGGTGCAAAATGTGCCATTACTGGGGCCAATCCCAAGAATCTTGTACCCATTTATAACAATTTACTCGAAGATGCACAGTTCCCTTACCATCCAGGTCAGCGTGTGCAGAGCATGCTTCCCTCAGTTTTCAAAAATGCAAAATGGTTGTGTGGTGCATGGGACATGAACCATGATGAAGGTAATTTCAGATAACCAAATTGTTCAAGGTTGTCGTCTATCCACTATTGTTGGTATTATATGTGTAACTATTTTTGGCTAATTCAGTGTAGGAATTGGACTTGGGTCCTAGTGTTGTAATTGTCAACAACTAGCTAATGAAGCCCAAGCTCAGTTCCTTTTTTATGTGCAGTTGTGTTTTCTTTACTACAATTGCCAATAATTTGTTTCTCATACATATAGGAACTGTGGCTCTTTCACTGATAGATGATGCTCATTTTCTTCTTTTTCTTGGGTAGCCTGAAGAATAAAGAATTTATCTGGAAAGTTTGATACTGTTCTAGATTAGGTAATGCGGAATGAATCATTAGTACAAACATAAGAATAATATTTACACAACTGAAATTTTTTCAGGGATGGTGTGCGAAGTTAATGTGGATTCAGTTTATGTAAAGTGGGTTGCCTCCATTGTGGCTAGTTACTTCAGTTCTCTCAAACCCCCATGCCTGCAGGACCCAAAAAATTTGACACTTTTGTCTAGCTTCTGGCATGATAATTGGCAGCTTGGTGACTGGTGTAATCTCCGAAGCCATTCAAGTTGTGATTATGATTCAACAAAGGAAAGCATAGAAGAAAAGGTCAAGAGTGAGTGCTTCTTAGCTTATAATTCTGAAAATGATCCATTGGTCATGAGACAGCATGATTCTAATGGGGGGTTTGCCTTTGGTTTGAAATCAGGAAGCAAAATAGGCAAAGGACCACTAAATGGTGATTATGATTATGAACAAGCTTTGATTATTGTGAAGAGGAGGACAAAGGTTGATGTCATTTGGCAAGATGGGAAGCATACTGCAGGCATAGATTCACAGAACCTGCTGCGAATAAGTGACATCAGTGATCATGAGTTCTGGCCTGAGCAATTTGTGTTAGAGAAGGGTACTGATGAGGATGGACAAGATTCTATTGATAAACGAGCAGGGGTTGTCAAAAATGTGGACACAGAGGAGAGAACTGCGAGAGTGATATGGCTGAATCCAGAGCTTAGTAATGGATCATGCAATTCAAACAACACATTTGGTAAAGAAGAAGTAGTGAGTGTGTACGAATTGGTTGAGCATCCAGATTATTCCTATTGCCCAGGAGAAATTGTATTTAAATTGATACCTTATTCAGAGGCTTTAAAAGGATCCTCTTCCATTGTCAGAGCTAATGGGCAGAACCAAAGCTTGGGAATATCAAAACTTGCTAAGCAAGTGATAGTTTCTTCTGAACTATCCGAGTGTTGCTGGCAGCTCGACAAAAGCTATTTAACTCATATCGGAATTGTTGTTGGAATCAAAGATGGAAGCATTGAGGTTGCTTGGGCTAGTGGCGATAATTCTAAGGTACTCTTTCTACTTTTCTTGATTTCACAGTTACATATATTTTGCATGCTTTTGGATGGGAGATGGTGGATGTGATACTTCTGAACCATTTTAATTGCGCCTTTTTAGATTTTTTCTATTCGAAAACTCATAATGGAAAATGTAGAATGGATTGCAAAGGTGCTACTGTGTTTCATACATTTAAGAGCTCTATCTCTTCCTTTGAAAACCGAATCTTCTGATCAATGCTTAAACCAAGGTACTTATTCTTCATTGCCATGCTGCTTGGGTAGAATGCTTTATTTTATTATAGCATCTTGGTTTGTAGCTACTATAGCTGTAAAACATTTCTAATAGGGAAAGCTATTGTCGTAACATCCGAAAGAACATGACAAATTGTATTGTTGTTAATATGAACACACATTTGGATATACTGGGCTTCAAACATAATGATATGCCATATGTTAAGGGCTTTTAACTTTTTGCGTTTAATGTTATGCTTGCAGTCATGCTACTAGATAGCTAGTATGTTAATGGAAGTTTAGAAGCCCTATGGTTACTGATTATGTCACAGGGAAGGGCTATCTAACAGAATTTTCTTGTGATATACAGCTCTAAATTCCCCCAAAATCCCTGTTTTCTTTTGTTTGACTACAAAGTTTAAATTTTTGGTGCCGTTTGGATGGACTATTTATTAAGGAATGGTGCTGTTCTTTACTCCACCCATTTGGGAGTGAAAACACGGTGCAGATTGGTCTGCTCCACTATTTAAGGATGAGCCCATTTAGCAACCCTGCTTACTAAGTATACACCATCAATAGGTCTACAACTCAAGCAACCAAAAAAAAAAAAATATATGCTGTATCTCACTTTCTAAATAACCCCTTTCTTAGTGTTGTTGTTGGGTGGTCAACATGGGCCTCTGGGAACAATGTATCTATATTTTGTGGAAAAAGAATAAGACTCCAGTATTCTCCCATGTGTCTTAGGATTTCTAACTTCTAGTTGGTAAAACCCTGTTTTTTCTTCCAAAATGGCAATCTTAGAGAAGGGTTTCAAGATGTTCATTGGAGTTACTGGTATTTGAAGCATGCAGCACTCGTTGATGGGTTCTGTTGCCGAGGGTGTGGGGTATAACAGCATGCTGTGTGAGGCTGTAAGGGGTTCAATCCCAGAGGCCTTGGGAATAACCTATCTATATTTTGTTGGAAAAAGTATGGCTCCAGTTTTCTTCCTAGTTATAATCTTGGGCTTTCCAGATTCAAGTTGGTCATTATCATCATCATCATCAGAGCCTTATCCCAACTATTTAGGGTCGGCTATACGAATCTTGATGCCCATTCTGTTCTATCAAGAGCCATACCCTTAGTAAGACCCCATATTTTTTCTCACTATTTCCAGATTCAAGTTGGCAAAACCCTATTGATTCAAATTGGCAAAACCCTATTTTTTCTTCCAAAATTGCAGTTGAAGAGAAGGGTTTCAAGATGTTTATTGGAGTTTCTGGTATTTGAAGCATGTGGTAATCATTGATGGTTCTGTTGCTGAGGGTGTGGGGTATAACAGTGTGCTCTGTGAGAGTGTAAAGGGTTTAACCCCAGACAGAAATGATGTTAATAGTTTCTCAGTCGCTCTTTGATAATTTGTTCAATATATTCTCAATGTCTAATAGGATCTCTTCATCTTTTCTTTTTATCCAAGGCCAGTCTCAGTGAGGGGGCCCAGGAATAGGTTCTCATACAATGGTGCATCAGCCATGTCCATGGAGATTCTGTGCAACTTTCGCATCAAAATTTTGTTGGACACAGGTCCTTTACCTCTACAGAGATGTTCTGACACATAAATTGTTTCAGGCATTCTAGATACAGTTTTTTGGAAGATGAACTATGCTCATTGGAGTTGTTTTCTGGTGCTACTCTCTTTTATACGTCTAGTCTTCTATGTTATTGCTATCGCTTTAATCTTTAGCTGAGATGTATTTTGGAGCGTCATGATTTACTTCTGATCTAATTGTGGTGGGAGGCTAGTATCTTTAAAAATTCTTCTACATAATTATCATGTCCCTTTCTAAGAGGAACTTGTAGATTAAGTTGTTTTGCTTCTGTTGATGAAAAATCTAGAGTCAAGAAGAATATCGGGCTATTCCTCCTCATCCATGAACATGGTCTTGCCATTGAATCCTCTATGTTTTTGTTAATGAGGACCTTAGCTGCACTGTTCTTTCATGGAACTATCAGGTTGGTCCTCATGAAATTGTGGGCATTGATCGACATGAAGATTTATCTTCAACCCCAATACTGTGTGAGGATGACTATGAGAAGAACACTGGTAAAGGGATGCTTGATTTCGAGAAATATCTTGACCATAAAGAAGAAAAAAAGGTAGAATCATCTCTCTCTATCTCTCACACACACAAACACATGATAATGCGCGTGAGAAATTAGTTGCTACTATTTTAATAGTTCAAACTGAATGAATCTGGTGAATGAATAATTTGAAAAGGATGTGATGGGTTCCGGTCAAGATCGCATAAAAGATGCTTGGAGTAGTAGTGCACTATTGTTTCCTCGGACTGCCTTTGGATTTCTCACCAACATTGCAAGCAGTCTGTTTGGCCATCGAGGTTCGACTTCCTTGTCGAGCACGAAATCGCTGCAAATTGAGAACATCGATAATAGTTGTAGCGTCCGGGAAGAAGATTCTCTTCTGCAAAGTGGTAGTGAGTTCAGCAAATTCCACCAAGCGGAGGATGTGGAGTGCTGGGATCCGAAGATTAAAGTAGGCATTCTCAGTGTTAAGCCACAGGTTCCGAGACAACAAAGTTTAGAAATGGAAATCGATAAAAAGGACCAAGGGCAAGATGGGTTTGAGATATTCATCTCACTCAGACAATTTGATACTGTCAGTGATTATTCCGATCACCATTTCATTGATGGGCTGGATAAAGGACAGAATGTATCTCAGGTAACAAACCCAGTGCCTACCATTATTTTCTCTTATAAAATGTGACTTCTTATATGACAAACCATTGGAAGGCAAACTAATTTTTCGTCTGGCACAGATGAAAAGAAGTTGGATAAAGAAGGTGCATCAAGAATGGACCATCCTGGAGAAAGGTTTACCAAGTGGGTCATTTAAATATTGCCTCTCATGAATCACAGTGTTTTGCATTTATTTTTATCAGCATTCACAGCCACAGCTTGCAAAAGAAAGATTAAGCCAACCTAAAACCTTTGCATCAATATAAAATTGCCAGTTTCATTTACAAATATGATATAAGCCTTAATGCAATTCCGATGAAGTTTCAAATTTCACACAAGCATGCCTTACTGAGAGAAAGTAAATTTTTATCTTTCATTTTATCTAAAAGTTAAGCATAATCGTATTTGGAAGGAAATGGATGAATCCTATGAAATCACAACTGAAACTCTCATATGTGTGGGTGGTTGTGTGAATTGCATACAATACTAAGAAAATACTATTATCCCATTACAGATACTATCTATGTGAGAGCTTATGAAGACAGGATGGATCTTTTTCGGGCAGCCATTGTTGGAGCGGCTGGGACACCATACCATGATGGTCTCTTTTTTTTTGATATTGCACTCCCAGCTGACTATCCTTATCAACCACCTGTAAGTATACTGTATTAATGGTTGTCTAATTAATCCTCAATTTCTATACTTATCCTTAAGCTATAAAGAAAAGGAAAATGACTACACAGCGTTACTAGCCCACTGGAATGTAGAAATACTCTGAGACAATGACGTGTATGAATGTTGATGTTGTTTACTATCATCATATAGTTACACAATAGTAATGGTTTGTTTTTAATAATTTCCTTTGTTTACAAGTCTTTATGTAACTTCTAGTATGGTTGTAGCTATAGCTTAGTTAGAATTTCTAAATGTTTACGAAAGTTTTGGGGGGTCAAGTCATTTGAGTGATATATGAAATACTTCTTCTTTCCATTCGTCCTCTTGCCCTCTCATTCATATTTAGAAGCTAGAGAAATTTACCTTAGTCATTCATATTTGACAATCTTAGCACCAGGAGTTAAAAACACCATCATTTATCAAGAAAATAAAAAAAAGTCCAACAATTTCTAAGAACCCCTCAGTTAGTTTTACCTGTATTACTATGTTTCCTCTATTATCACTAATCTTAGAAATGGCCTAGGTAACCAAATCTTTTTAGAGTCTACAAAGTCTAAATGATTTTCTTCTTATGTACAAGCCCCTTACAGAAGTTAATTTATGCCAAACATTTAACCTCTCTAGTTTGTCCTTTTGGAACAAGAGAGGAATGCTATGATTCATATAATATGGCTCACTCTCTGGAATCCCTCTTTCTATATTTCCTTTCAATGTTTTCCTGATTGATTTTCCCATCTTCTGGTTTGCCAATTAATTCCTACGGTAAACTAAGTCTCGGGTTAGAAATAAGCATTACTCATGAATGGATCATGATTTTTCATTTATGCTATTCAGTCAGTGCACTACCACTCTGGAGGACTACGGTTAAACCCAAACCTATATGAGTCGGGGAAGGTGTGCCTCAGCCTTCTCAATACTTGGTCGGGCTCTGAAACTGAAGTATGGAAGCCTGATAGCTCAACCCTTCTCCAAGTCCTCATCTCTCTACAGGCACTCGTGCTCAACTCCAAGCCCTACTTCAATGAGGCAGGATATGAAACTTATGTTGGGAAGGCTGAAGCTGAAAAGAATTCTCTTTCCTACAATGAGAATGCATTCCTTCTCTCCTGCAAATCCATGCTTAATGTGCTCCGGAAACCACCTAAGGTACGCAAATGTGCTTGACTCCTGTCTGGTTCGTTCTACTCTCTCTGCACGCGCGCATAACACCCCCCATCTCTTCTCTCTTTTTTATATATACTGTACTCAAGCATTTGTTAGTTGTGATTGCAGCATTTTGAGCAACTTGTCAAGGTCCATTTCCAGGTTCGAGCAAAGTCTATTCTTGATGCATGCCAATCCTACATGGACGGTGCCAAGGTTGGGTCATGTGGCTTGACTGGGGCAAACAAGAGTAGCTCAGCTGGTTTTAAGATGATACTCTCAAAGCTTTTCCCCAAGCTTGTATCGGTTTTTGCCAGCAAGGGAGCTATAGATCCTCAGTTGTTCCTCGAAAACACCGGAGAAGAATCTACTCAACCATCTTTGAGTCCATGATGTTTATGTGTGCATGTGTAACTTCTGGATCCCTAAGACCGAACGTCATTTTATAAGTATTCAGGGTGTGGCGTGTGATGCTATAATCCATGATGTTTATGTGTGCATGTGTAAATTCTGGATCCCCAAGACCGAACATGGTTTTATAAGTATTCAAGGTGTGGCCTGTGATACTATTGCTTGTATATTATGACAGAATACTGTACTGAAGGAGTGCGGTTGATATTTGCATATTAGAAACTTGGTGATTGGTTTTATGGTATTCAGGCTGAGGTAGATTTCAGTATGGACTTTCTGCTGACAACTGCATATAAGGTACAGACCTATGCATAAATTTTGTGTTGAGGTTTACGGATCCTAACTAATTCCCAGATGACAAGAACTATCTTTACGTTTTAACCACTTTTGTATATAGAAGCAATTTTAGTCATTTGTTGCTGTCACAATAAAAACTCATGCAAAAGGATATGGGATTGTATATGGTAATATCGATTACCGTAGCTAAAAGAAGGTCACAATCACCGTTTCCATCAAATAAAACCTGAAGGCTAGAGGGTTACAAAGTTCGAAAAAGAGTATCTTAGATTTTGAAAATCATTGGCTTAATCCGGATTGCCCGATTTTATATCCAATGGTAAAAAATGATTGTTACTTTCTTGTACCAAAAAATAATAATATTATAGTATACTGTCTTAAACGATATGGGCACATGCATACCTTGTTTTTTATATACAAAGACCAATATTTATTCAACTAAAACTATGGAACAATACTTACTATTGATTTTCACTGGTTTCATAAGGGAAAACGAATTGTTGAATCATGTTATTTCTGTCCAATGCAATACGCATCGAGACGAGAATCTGAGAACGATTGAAACAAGTGGTCTCTAATTGAAGATTTTGGTGGGTCATGATTATGGCATGTTTCTAATAAGGTCATCAGCAGCTCTTCAATGAAGGATTGTGACCCAAAAGCTGTTCAAGACTTGGCTCCGGCTCACCCACTTGCGTTAAATGGTGGCTGGTTTGACAATTGACAAAACTGATCAGCTTTGACTACTGCCACAATGAGCGCTTTTAAGGAGAACAAATTGCTTTGCCAATTATATTTAGTATTCGTTATTGGGCATAAATGATTAGTCTAAGTGCTTTAGTGTGTGCGATATGGGAAAAAAAAAAGAGGTTCTGAACTGTTAGACGGTTATAGAAACCAGATATTTAGTTTCCTATCTTTTATTTTTTTGATAAGGTTTTAATACTCAGCTTGGACTTGAGACTCGGGCTCTGCCTAAGCTGAGTAATTTGGGTGTGTCGGAGTGAATGCGCTGAGTAGTGTACAAGCTAAACCAAGGGCTAAAGTTTTGAAATAAAAACACGAAAATTGGTAAAAAAAAAAAAATCACAAATATAATTTTTTATGGTTGTTTAATAGAAGTTTCACCCTAGTTTGTACACAAGTACTTGGCTTAAAAAGGGGTCAAATCCGCGTAACTTTGCCAAGTCCGAGGGGACTCCGCACAATTTCAAATGTTGTTTCGGATACATACAAGATACTGCTTTTTTTGGGGGGTAATTCAATAGGAAAGACAAGCCCCTACCCGTTTTTTAAAATAGATTTGGAGTTAGATTTTTCAAAATGTTAGTGGGGTGGTGTTCTTGATAAGAATAAAAATACAATGTGATGACTAGGTGTGGAGATGCTACAACCACAACCACAACCTCAACCCCAACCACAACCCCTTTCCTACAAGATACTGCTTATTTGTAGCATTTTGCATGACATCATAAATAAGCATCCCAAATCACCCTGCGTTACAATTGAAATGGGAGATGATGAGATAATTGAAAAGGAAAAGGTTGAAACCTAATGAGACTTTTATAACCAACACCATGTCAAGAATTCTGGCGTTATCAAAGGGAAAGCGTTCTATACTTTTTCTACTGTATAGGTTCAATATGAATGGATGGTTGAGATGGACAATGTCATGCTTCTATAAGTTTCATTTTTAATTTTTTCTACAATATATTTTGATACAAAATTTTGGGCATCCACTCGTCTCTTAAACTTGCACCTGAAAAAATATTAAAAAAATACCATTGACAAAATAAAATAATCAAAATATCTCTGAAACTTTCAAGAATATTTTGGTTAATTTTAGTTTATTAGGAATATGTTTTTAATATTTTTTAGATGCGCCCCATTGAGATGATCACACGTACCAAATTTCATATTCATATGATTTATAAAATAATTTAAAATAAAATACTCTAAAATGTCGGAACTAAATCAAACTTGATTTATATTGGAGGGCTGGATGAAGGGGGAAGTTTTTGCTTCTATACAGCATGGGAAGTATAAAATAGAGCCTAAAACTAAACAACCAAACTGAGAGAAGACAGGGCTTGCTGGGACTTAATACTTTGTTCCAAGTAATCCAAAAGAATCAACTGACATTGCTACTACATTAAAATATCATTCATTGCCAAACGATTTGGGATAATAAGTTTGCATATTTTTTTCAATTTTTAGTTAATTTCCTAGAAATAATACAAATGAAAAAACTAGGTAATGACATTTTTAGAATTTTATTCTTTCATTAAAAAATCCATAACTGCAATCAACATAAATAAAATGTTCATGTGTACATTTTTTGGAATAAGGATGATAGGTATTGCCATTTAAAATTGGGAAAAGTTTATATCAGGTTGCAACCTTAAAATGTAGAATTAAAGATGCACCTAAAAATCCATCAGAAAATATTGTTTTAATGTTCAGAATCCCTCTAATTGATCATCTCAACATTGAGATGTATAAATATGAAAAAAAAAGTATTTTGAGTCCCAAAAATAAGGCATCTTGCAACACATTATCTAGATCGTCTATTTTTAAAATTTATAGATCTACTTGATTTTAATCATTTTTGGAGTTTAAAATTTTATAATTAGATATAAAGATAGATTTTTTGATAATCCTAATAATATTTTACACCAAAATTACATGTTATTATAAAATTTGGAGGTACGCCTTAATTGGATTGGATTGTTTAAGGTTGTAACCTTATAGAAACCTCACCCTTTAAAATATGATGAAGAATGCCTAACAAAAAATAGCTCTAGCCTTCTCCGACAACCTAAAAACGCAGAGGTATGAGATTTCATCTCCTTGTCAAATTACATTCACATAAATGACGCAACGAATATATATAGTTTTCATTTATAGAAAAGAAAAGAACAATTACAAACTCAAGATAAATGTATTTCCATGCTGTAGAATTATAGTCACAAGGGTGACTGGCCGCTTATACACAATAGGGAAAATTATTGAAATCCCCTTGACTCAACTTTCTATACATTCAACCCCCAATCATTTTTTTTATCACAACTTTTACCTCAAGACTAACTTTTATCTCCCCCGCCCCTAACTATTTTTTTATCACAATTTATACCCTAAAACTAACTTTTATAGAAAAGATCTTTCCAAGTCAAAAAGTCATAGTTGTAAAGATGAAAACGCTATTGTTCGTACGCGTCACATTCTTGGACAAGGAAGTGCATCCAAAATACGCACTGTCGAACTGCATTGAAAAAGTGTTGGACTACGTAGAAGACTTGCCGGACCGCCTACAAAAAGTGCTAGAACGTTGACTGCATCCAGAAGACGGGTTGCCTGACCACAAGAACATGTGTTGGACCGCAAAGAAAAAGTATCGGACCGCTTGGAAAAAGTATCGAACCCGGTGATTGCATACGAAGATGCAATGCCAGACTACAAAGAAAATGTGTTGGACTGCAAAGAATATGTGTCGGACCGCATGGAAAAAGCATCAGACTATAAGTGCATACGGAAGACCAGTGGAGAGCGTGGGCATTATTAAAGACATGGTATTTTAGTCTTTATTTGAGTTTACTTTTCTACTAGGGTAAATGCTATAAAAAATCAATGTTGGGGTTTATTGAGGGAAAATTATTTCATACGGGCTGGACCGCATTTCTACATATGCGGTCCAGAAAGTGTAAAGCATCCATATTAAAGATGGATGTAAGTAGGTGGTCGATCTAAAAATAATGGAAACTGACCGTCCAAATGTTTTCTTACTAGAATTGTTATTTCTAGTTTTTAAAATTTATTTATTTTTTCATATTTATGATCTTCATGTTAGATATTACATGTCCTTAAAAATTAAGTCCTAAAATCTATCTCAAAAATAAATTTATTAAGAGGCCCGCATTTTTACATATGCCAGCTTGGCCACGTAGAAACCAGATCCTTTATTGAGTGATGAAAAAAGTAGTTGGGAGAGGTTGTCTAGATTCTAGAATGTCCAATTGAGGGGCATCGATGATGTCCCTTATAAAATAGGTGAATGGTGCGTGCTGCCATTCTAGGTACGAAATGGTATCATTCTTTTGCTTGTATGTGTGTGAGCGTTTACCCAGGTAGATATTTAAATGATGGGGGAACCTAGCTTTATCCAAATGTTAATTTTCGTACTAAACAACTATGTTGAGATCAGCTCAAAAAAGGGGCGTATAATTAAACATAGAGGTGAACCCAAATGGTACTCACCACCACTATGGAGTCGTCGAACTTGAGATGTAACAATGCTAGACATCAGCTACTAACCACTCAAGCTCAAGCCCGATTCTTTGTATCATCATGAATATGTACTAATAAGATGATGCACGTTTGCAAAAGAAGTTTGAAGTGGGGATTCAAGCCTCATCTCATAACCCATTCTCATCATAATGACGAATCCATACTAAACTTTGGAGAACCTCCCTCCCTACACTTTGTAATAGAAATAAAATTCCAAATCTACTGTTTTTGAAAAGGCCACAGTAGACAATATTGCTCTTTTTTTTTTGAAAAGAGAATGTAACAAGATAGAAAAATGTATATTGCATGTAACAAAATAAAAAAATGTATATTATATCATTGTATTACCATTATATTTACAATGAAAGAACCACCACAACAGGTAGTCCCCAAAAACTATAAATTTAGAAGTTTATTTCTACTAGTTCGGGTAATATGGCAAGACACATAGGTGTGCTCTTGATGTAGAAGATTAGGAGTTACAAGGAAAAGTCATTCCTCCATCAAATGGGAAGGAAAGAATAAGATGTGCGATGGGTGATGCACTTCAAATGAGGTGGAAGTGATGAAAGGAGGGTGTAAGAGCGACAAAGAAAAAGGTGCAACGAAAAGATTGGGAAACCCCTCTTGGTTCAAGCTAAGGCGAGGATATATGACAAAAGC